AATTCCTTCATAGTAGCTAAAAGCTAAATTAAGATATTGTAAAACTATATGATTTCTACTTAAATTTTTATATATTTTGGTTGCCTAGTGAAATTCTCTTTCAATTTATTTTGCCCACCTTTATCTCTACTGTCCTGAATAAATTAATCTCATTTATCGTAAAGCCTTTTAAATAATGATTGGTATGTTTCTATTTTCCATATAATTTTTCCTCTTTGTGTTTGGTTATATAGTCATGTCATTTTATATGACCAGTACTTATTTAAATTGAGGTATAACATATACAAGAAAATACAAAAATCTTGAGTCTATAATTTGAGGAATTATTACAAATGTACAATGACTATAAAACTGCCTCTTTGAATAGATAATTTCTTGCTTACATTTTCTTTAAGCCATTAGCCCCTTAGAATCATTATTTTGAGTTTGTCTCTATAGTTTTCAGCTTTGAAATTTCATGTAGATGAAATAGCATTTTATGTATTCTTTTGGGTTTAATTCCACCCATCCATGTTGTTCTATGTATCAGTAGTTCTGTTTTTTTCCAACATGTTTATTATTCTGTTTCTGAATTTACTTCACATTCTTTACTATTCTACTCTGATGGATCCAGAAGTTGCTTTCATTTTGGTGTTGCTATCAGTATAGCTGCTGTGATTATTCTTGTAATAAATTTTGATAAATACAAGCTTTCATTTCTATTGGGTATTTCTCAAAGGAGATAAATACTAAGTTATAGTATCTATATATGTTTGGCTATAGCGGATAATTCCAAATGGTTTTCCAAATGTTCTGTTCTCATCTCCATAAAACCTACTCTAGAACTCCTCAAATAATTGTGTCCTAATCCGGATACACTTCAGTTGTTCTTCATTCTCTTCAACACCTTTTATCGCAAGTTGTTTTCAAGTTAGCCATTCACGTGGGTGTATCATAATATTTCATGATATTTTCACTCTGCATCTCTCTGATGATTGCTGGTATAGAGCATCTTTTTATATGTTCATTAATTCTAACAATTTATTTATCTCATAAATATATAATAATAATGTAGAGATGCGATCTTATACTAACTTCTTAGGCAGAATGATTCCTTTCCTCTCCACACCCTTGGGGCAGGTAGAGAGAAAGCAAATCCCTTTGTCTCAAATCTAGGGCTGGTTGAAGCCCTAGTAAGACACAGTCCCTGGGGCTCCATGGTCTTCAACAAAGAGCCAGGGCCCTTCCCCTTCCCCTTGGCTTATCCTGAATTCTGATCTTTCTTTCCCAAGGTTTTAATAAACTACCCTGCACAGTCCCAGGATTCAGCAACTATCCTGAAAGGAGACTGGTTGTGTGCTAAAGCTCCCACTTCCTCCCTTCACCTAACCTGTTGCTCTGCTCAAAGCCCTGCTGTTTTTTTTTTCTGTCCTGGTCCAGAGTTCCTTTGCCCAGCTTTGTTCCAGCCTTTGCACGAGTTTCTCAGCCTCCTGCCCAGGACTGAATTCCTTCCCTTCTACTCTTCCTCACTCCCCACATAAAATCAGCTCCTCTTCTTTAAAATAAAATTATTTGATGAGATAGAATTTCCTCTAATACTAAATAAAACAGCAAATAGGCTCCTCTACTAACTTTTAGGTCATAGAAAAATGCAAGGTCACTTTAGGTTTCAAATGCAGTCTCAGTTAGATAATTAAATACACCCTGCCCCACCTGGGTAGCCAGAAGCCAGAAAATCCATTGGGAAGGCAGTTGGAGTTGAACCTACTCAACTCTTTCCTTCTCACCTCCCTCTCTACTCACTACCTCCACTCCAGATGGAAGCAGGAAGGGGAAAAAGAGACCAAAGTTGTTGGGAGAATACCATTGCAAGATGGCATGGTGTGAGTTCCACTAAAGCATACGGAGACGACTGCTCATATGGGTGGTTTTGTTTTGTATTCCCTTTTGTTCCTCTGACTATAATACCATCTAATGAGAAGTGCATGTCTTCTTCCAGGTCTGAGTTTTTGGAGAACTCTCACAGAACTCTCTCTTTGGCTCCTCTAATTCTGCCAGGTTTGTACTCAATGGTAGATTTTTTTCTATGGCTAAAGATTCATTCTTTTTCTCCTAGAGTGGTTTTAGGTTTTATTGATTTCAGGGTTATTCTTAAAGGCAGATCCCTTCTTTCCTCTGGTCCTGCTGCTCAGGGCAGCAGCCAGAGCCCTTTGATGAGATTCCTCAGACAAGAGCCCAACAGTGATCAAGCACCCAGGGACAGAGATCAGCCCCCAAATAACCTGATTCCTGAAAGACACAGAGTGGAGCAATAGGTTCCTCTCCTTTTCCCTGGGGAAAGATTCAGCCTGACTTTCACCAAACAAATGCTGCTCTCAGAATCCACTGTTGACTGTTTTGTGCTCTCAGAGTTCTTTAGAGGTTTCAAGAGTCATGAAATTCAACTCAGTTCTTCGATTTGAAAATTTACATTTTGGTGTGTGTGTCAGTCAATTCACCTTGAATTGTGCTACTATTGAAGGCTAAATATAATGGTCCTGCATATATGTCTACATCCTAAGTTTCAAATATTTTTAATATGTTATCTACCATAGTAAGAGGGAGTTGGCCAATGTAATTAAGTGAATGACCTTGATATGGAGAGACGGTCCTGGATTTTCTGGGAAGGCCCAATGTAACCGCCAGGATCTATACCAGGAGGCAGGAATAGCAGATCTGACATGAGCAAGAGGTTGGAGGGATGTGTGAAAGGGAACATGAGCCGAGGAATACTGGTGACCTCTAGAAACTGAAAAAGACAGGCAAGCAAATTCTCCCCTGGGGCTCCGAAGAAACCAGCCCTGCCAATACCTTGACTTCTGTCCACTGAGACTGATGGTGGACTTCTGATCTTTTGTTTTAAGTCACAAAATATGCAGCAGTTTGTAGCATAGTAATAAGAAACTAATATAGGCATCATGGTGACTCAGGCAAAATTTCCAATTCTATCTTATAATCTGGCACCAAATGTCCTCAGATAACTGGGTTATTTAAATAGCTGAATTAATAGCAAATAATGTTTATAACTGTAGGACAAACTTGAAACACCTAGGCAATCTCCTTAGTTTCAAGTTCGATTAACCCATGGGTGGTGTTGATGCACATCATGTGATGTTTGCCTAATACATTCATATCATGCATGGTTGCAATGACTGGCTCTCCAAATTGTACTAGCCATTTGACTTTTGGGAATTGATTACCTATTTTTCTTTTTTTTTTCTCCTAATCTATTGGAAGGTATAAGATTATCTTCCTTTACAGATTTGTCTGGAAATTAAATGAAATCACATAAAATTGGGACGCTGTTAGGCAGTATTTTCCATATAGCCAGTAATTGAAAAGTGATGACTATTTAAAAAACAAATAATTGATGATAAAATTGCTAACATTTAGATTCATGGTGAAGTCAATTTGCAAGTTTATTGAGCATTTATTTACATGGGACTCAAGCAATCTTTGGTGCTGTGGTAGGCTAAAAATTATTTGTTCTTGAGGAGGTTTTAGCAGAGCTGCCTCATCCCTCTAAGGGGTTAGTACTGGAATGTTCAGTGCCTACCCAGTAGGTAAGGTGTCGCCCTGATTCCAGAAGATAGAGTGTGTTGATGGAAGGTAGTTAGTTTTGAAATGTCAGTTTCCCTGCCTGGTAAAAATAAGTGCTTGCAGCATATAAAACATATTTAGGAGTGCTATTGATGGATAAATCATGAAGGATGCACACTTGAAAGGTTAATATTGACATTCTGTAAGACATAACTTTATATGCAGCACAACTATTGATCCAGCTGTGGTGATGGGCTAGCAAGTGCTAGTGTGGATCGTTTTTAGGAGGAGCAAAGTGAATACTCAGAAGGGCTAAGGCATTGCACAAAGAGGAGGTTTTCTTTAAAACCATTTGGGAATTTCCAGTCTGGCCCATGAACTCACACTGGTTCAACCCTTGCAACAACAGCAACAATAGCCTGCATCCAAGAAGAAACATTTGCTGAGCATATACTTTTGGTTAATTCTGGCCCTTCCATTGACTCAGGTACAGGAGTTCACAGGTAGCTCCCAGATGAAGAAAATGATGTATTTGCATTGTGGAACAATAACAAAACATAAACAAAAACAAACAAACAAAACATCAACAATTTATAAAAAAATTTCGTTGTCTTGTGCCCTTAGTAACTTTTTTTTTTTTCCTGGCTAATGGATAACAATGAGTTCATTATTTAAAGAAAACTCTCTAGTTAAGAAAAATATTTATTTCATCATTAAATTGGAAAACTCAGTGAATGGTCAATAATTATCCTGGACAGAAGATAAAATGAATATGTTCATCTTGAAAAGCTGGTGACTTTCCATTATTTTTCCGAACTGCTACACATTTAAAAAAAAAAAAAACACTTTGCAGGAACCAGTGGTGAGATCTGTCAGTATTTTGCATAATTACATAGGGAAAAAGAAAAAATGCTATCATACACATCAAGCATATGTCACTGAACATGAGAAGGAAATTAGATTATTAGATTTGTCTGGTTCTTTAACTTTTCATTTTGAAGTAATTTCAAACTTACAAGAATGTTGCAGAAACAGTACAAACAATTCCTGAATGAATTTCACCCAGATTCCACTAACATCAACCGTATAATGATCAAACTCAAGATATTAGTATTGATACAATAATATCTAAACTACAGATCTTATGAAAATTTCATCAATTAGTCCACTGATATCCATTTTCTGAACCAGGGTCTAATCCAATACAGCACATTAAATACTTTTGTCTCATTAATATCCATTGATCTACAACAGTTCCCATCTATTTTTCATGACTTATCATGTTTAAAGAGTACTGGCCAGTTATTTTGTTCAATGTCCCTCAATTGGATTTGTCAGATATTTTCCTATGATTAAGTTGACATGCATTTTTGGTCAACAACACAATGAAAATGATGTATCTTTCTCAGTACATAATTCAGAAACTTAAAATGTTCCTTACCTATTCTTATTGGCAAATGTGTCTCATGACTGGCGATTTTAACTCTGGTTACTTTATTTGGGTGATAGTGCCAGTTATGTCTCCTTTTCCCCTCTTCATGTCTTCTAAGAAGTTACTTTGACACTGCAGAAAAATCCTGTTTGTCATTACACTTTTATTGCAATTCCCAGTTTTGGATACTTACCTAACATGACCATTACTGTAGTGGTTTTCTATTTCTATCATTTTTTATATGTTTATTCTTTAGCATAGAACTATAAGACAGAGCATTCCCTTCTCCCCCATTTTTTTCAATTAATTATTCATAGTGGTATGGATTAGTGAGTTCTTGATTTATTCTCTAAGTTGTAAGCCAATTTCTGCTTTGTTCTTCCCATGATGCCTGTGCTTAACATGTATATCTTGTCATCTTCTCTTATGCAAAAAAATATATAGCATAATATAGAAACTCTTAGATACAGATCATTGATACAGATAAACTCCTTAGAATTTATTCTTGTATTTGGTGTGAGATATGGATGGAGATAATCTTCTTGAATTGTCTCAGAATAATTTATTTTAAAAGCGCATCGTCTATATGGTCATTTTTGAGTTTTTTATTATAGTGGCCTATTTGCCTATTTATGAGACTTCCTGGCACTTTTTCAATTATAAAGGCTTTTATGGCAGATTTTAATGACTGATAAAGCTAGTTACCACCTTGACCCCCACCCTATATATTTTTCTTTATGTTGGTTTTCCTGAGGATTCTATCATGTGTGATTTCAACATAAACTTTAGGAAAAACTAGTAAGTCTAGCTTCATGTAAATCTTGTGCTATTTTAATTAGAAGTGTAGTAGATGTACAAATTAGTTTGGGTACCAACAAATGTATAAATTCAGCCTTTTTAATCCAAGAACCAGGAATATCTTTCTACTTATTTAAGTTTACTTTAAGATTTTTAAAGCTTTTTTATGAGGATGTTTCAGACTTCTTTTTCAGCTTCCTCTTAATTATTTAATTTTATTTGTTGCTATTGTAAATGGAGTTTCTCTATTATAATGTCTTCTAACTTGTTATCATTTATATATATAAGACAATTAATTTTTACATATTAATTTTATATCCTGTGAGCTTAGTAATTTTTTCTAGGGTTTTATCATTAATTCCTTGAGTTTTTCTGGATTTTTATCGTAACATCTGCAAACTGAGAAAGTTCTGCTCCTTCTTTACCATTATTATGCTTCCAATTGATTTCTCTTGTCTTATTGCATCGGCTAATAGCATATAATGCATTGTTGAAGTACTGGAGATAGAGTGATTCCTGACCTTGTTCTTGATGTTATTGTAAATGTCTCTATTGTGTTCAGTGTTTTCTCAAGAAAAGAGATGTTGGTTTTATGATGGACATTTATATATTTTTGTGATGAGAAGGCATCAATCAGTTTCTGTATTCTTGAGTTACTTAATAAAGAATGAGTGATAAGTTTTGTCCAAGGATTCTTCAGCATTGCTAAAGATACATTTTTTCCTTAGACTTCTTTATATAGTGTGATAAACTAATAGATTTTCTAATATTGAGTCAAATTTGTATTCCTAGAATACGTGTCACTTGGCCATGATGTTGGATTTCCTTAACACAATGAAGTACTGAATATCTTTGCTAATATCTAACTTGGTTCTTTTGCACCAATATTTGTATGCAGTATTAGTCTGTCGTTTTCTTTACTTGCATTGATTTTTATCATGTTTAGATATTCATGTCATATTTGCAATATAAAGATTAGAAATTTTCCTTCATTTGTAATGCTCTGGACTAATATGTGAAGCACTGAAACTATCTGGTCTTGAAAGATTTGATAAAAGTTGCCTCTGAGACCATCTATAATGCCATCTGTGATGCCACCTGTGTCTGGTACTTTTTGAGGTAGTTTCTTAATAAGTTCTTACTGTTTCTCTATGTAAATTAGTCTAAGTGCTTCATCCCTAATGATGTCAATTTTGTTAACTATACTTCCCTAGGAAATTTTCTGTTTCAGCTAATCTTTGAATTTGTTTAGAATTTGAATTTTTTCCTTTTCCCTCTGGATTATCTAGTGGTAAGTATATTTTGTCAAAAATTTTTTAAGCAAGAAACAAGATATTGATCTATTAATCACATCTACTATTTTTCTATTGTCAGTGTTGTTTTCATTTTTCCTCTTTAATAGTTCTATCTTTATAAATTATTTTTGCTTACTTTTTGTGTTTTTCTAACTTTATTTTTGAGCTTGAACTTTAATTCATTTGTATTCAATTCCTCTTTTAACCAAGAGTTTTACAAATTATTTTTTATCTTTCAGGTAATTTATTTATACTAGCTTCTTTTTGGTTTTGTCAGTATTTTATCAACAGGAAAAATACCAATATCAAATAAAAAGGTATTTTATTTCTTTTCTGGGGAATTTATTTTGTGAACACTTTGTCATTCAAATATATTCAGATCAGATATTATTATCTGTAACATTGCTAATTTGTGGAACTTACTGATATTTACTTTGTAGAGTGTGTGTGTTCTATGAGCTTTTAAAAAACAGTCTTTATTACAGGTGTGTGTTCATTTCCTTGGGCTTTTGCAACAAAATACTACAAACTGGGTGGCTTAAAACAACAGAAATTAATTGTCTCACTGCTCCAATGGCTGGAAGTCAGAGATCAAGGTGTGGTAAGACCATGCTCTGCCTGAACCCTGTGGGTGAGGGTCCTTCTTGACTCTTCCAGCCTCTGGTGTTTGCTAATGGTCGTTGTTGTCCCTGAGCTGGTAGGTGGATCACCCCAATCTCTACCTACAGCATCACTCTCCTCCATCACATGGCCATCTTCTCTTGCATGTCTCTGTGTCAAACTAATCACAATTGATCAGTCATTAAACACTTTCCCTACTCCTGTATAACCTGATCCAAGTTAATTACATCTGTAACAATACTATTTACAAATAAGGTCACATTCTGAGATGAGGGTTAAGGCTTTCGCATATCTTTTTGGGAGACACAATTCATCCCACAACAGGATGGAAAATTCAATATATAAACAATGTAAGATCTACATTTTTTATTAGTGTTTTAGGTCTTCTATATTCTTCTGCATTTTTCCTTTTGTCCATTTGATAGTTCTTGTACTGACACTGAATGTTAAAGTATACAGCTATTAGAGTATATCCTTGCATCTTCTATGAATTTTGCTTCATAAAGGTGCTTGTTGTGCTTATTATTTGGAACATAGCTTTACTGTGAATTGTAGCATCTAGCCTTTACTTTTTTTTAGGGGGGGTGGGGATTGAATTCTACTTTTTCTGTTATAAGCATGCTTTCTTTTTACTTACTTTTTAATTCCAATTACCTGAATCTTCTAGTGTGCCTTCGGCCACTCAAGCCTATATTTAAGAGAAAACAAATCAATATAAAACAACACAAAAAAACACTTCAAATAATTTTAAGTATGACTCTTGTATACAACATATCGTTGGGTCTTATTTTGTGCAAATTTACAATATTTTCATTTCATTAATTAATGAATTAAAATTAATAAAATTAAGTAATAAAATTCAGTAATTCTAATTTGCCAATGTTACTGTATGTTTAATTCCAAACCTGTCATAATATTTTATAATTGCTTGTATTCTAGTTACCATATTTCTTTACTTGATGTGTCTTTTTAAAATTTTTTATTTTGTCTTTTTTATTCTTTTTTTTCTTAATACTAAGAATGTATTAGAAGTATTGTAAGTATTGTTCTGATGGTCACTTTCCTACTTGTACCTTATTAAATGTCCTTCAGCTCATGTTTTCTTGTCTAACGTTTCCTATCACCTTGCCAGTTTTCATAGTACTCTTTACATTTTAACAATTGCTTATATAATGAGCGACTTTTTAATATTTTCTTATTTATTTACCTCTTGTGGTACTGGGGACTGAACCCAGGGCCTACCACTGACAACATCCAGCCAGGCCACCCCTCCCCCTTCAGTTTGTTTCAACTGCCAACTGACCTTACAGCTTCCTAGTGGGAGCGTGAAAGATTGCTCACTGGGATTTGATTTTTTTTTAATTGCAATTACTTTGAAATTTGGGCATTCTCTATTCTATTCATGCTGAGGATGTTTTTTTTTTTTAATACACTTAAATATAGACATAGAGAAAAGAAAGAATTATTTTGTAAAAGAAAAAAAGAACCCTGTCTTCTGGGTTTTCTAGCCCAGGCTTGCCCTTGACTGATTGCTTTTGGCCAATTTCCTAATAACTCTTTGTATCACATAGCTAGAAAAATTTTTTAAAGTACATCTTCATTATTTGGAGATATTTTCTTAAATTTCAATGTAGATGAATTCTTCAAGTCACTCCAAAGCTTATGTGTGTGTGTGTGTGTATAAATTTCTGTGCATAAATTTCATGTTATATGCATGTTTCAGATATAGATACAGATATAATGTAGAAAGCGTGTACCTTCTCTCTGCCTCAGCTACTCATGCCTAGGGTCATACTCTTCCATCTGCAAACAGGCCATCCATTCAGAATCTTGACTTCATCATTATGAAAAGACCTTGCTACTGTTTCCAGTTCCTGCTTTGACAGTTCCTTAGTTCTCATCTGACCTTATCATAACAACAGCTCAATTAATCTTACCATTCTCTCCTAATCCTTGATTTCTCTGTCCTTCCATTCCCTCGTTAGGCACGTAAAAACCCATCCTGTATTACTATAAGTCAATGTTTGCAATCTCCAGTGCTTACAGGTTCAGGAAGGAAACTCAGTGAGTGTTCTCCCAGATAGAGGACCCGAAGAACTTGTTCATATGAGATGAACCAAATTGCTTATGCACCATCTTAAGAAATTCAAGTGCACAGTTTTAATACAATGAGAGCACCAAACAATCCATCTCCAGGCTAAAAGTGTCCTTTCACCTCCGACCTTGTTTCTACTTATTGCTATCCTATAAAAACTTTTGTTGAAGTCACTATCCATTTTCCAAGTTGCATCACATTGCAAAAGAGAAAAATCATGGGGTCTGGCTGACAAGCTTCACTTCTCACCATTACATCCCACATGGTCACCCAGAGACCAGCGCTCCTGCCACATTTCCTAGAATGCTTTCTCTCTCTCTTTCTCTCAGAGATGACAATTTTATACTTTCTCCTCCTCACATACATTCTCATCAGAAGGCTTTGACTTGGAACGTTAGAATTACCAACTAAAATGCCTTTTTTTAAATAAGAAATACACTTTCTAACCTCAGTGACTTGTTATCCTCTTTATTTCCTTCAGAGCCATCATTGCAATCTACAGTCATTCTTGTTTTATGATTCTATTTCCTTCAACTAGAACATAACTCCATGTGAGCAAAGACTATGTGGGTCTTCCTTACCAGCTATTCTTGGGACAGTGACTGCTATATATCAGGAACACAATAAGCTCTTGTCCAACGAAGGTTTTAATCAGAACATATTTGTAATTCCACGAAATCCAGGGAAAAGGGTCATTGTGGGTAAAGTCTAGAAGAGGGCTTGGCATACTTTTATTGTAAAAGGCCAAATAGAAAATGTTTTCGCTCTTGCAGGCCAAATGGCTTCTCATTACTATTCAGCTCTGCTCTGGTAGCATGAGAACAGCCATGGATAATACACAATGAATGTGAGAGGCTGGATTTGGACCACACTCGTGGTTTGTGGACCTCTGGTCTAGATGAGCAGAGTCTTTGCAAATTCCTAAATCCTGGGCCCATGCTGCCACCTGCGCATTCTCAAGTAATTGTTGATAAATATACATTCACATCTGTGCTATCTGCTGAAAGGCATCATGACAGAGTGGTTGAGAATACGGACTCTACTGCTATATGGCTCAGTTCAAGTCTTGGCCTGCCACTTACAGGCATTGTGGCCATGAATAAGTCACCATCTTCTCTGATTTTGGTTTCTTCATCACTAAAATGCAATAATAGCTGTGTCTGGGTCATGGGGTGAATGAGGATTAAATGAGGTAGTTTTTATTATTGCTTACAGCAGAGCCTGGTACCTAGAAAGAGCCAGATATATGTGCTAAATGTTGAGTGGGTCCTTGCTCAGCCCTCTGCATATCTACCTCATGTCCTTATCACAGAATGCTTCCGTGGGATATCAGTAATATCCCCATTTGATAAACATGAAAACTGGGACTCAGAGAAATTAGGTATGATTCTATGGTCACTCAGCTAGTAAACGATTATATTAGGGTCAGATAAATACATTAAGAGATCTAAAAAAATATATATAACTAAAATATAATGAATTTCTTCTATTCGATATCCATACAAAATAAAGGAAATCAAAATTTGTCTCTGCATTTGTTTTAAAATATAGCTGAAAATTCTTTGACATTTTTACTCTAAAGAGAAATCCCCTCCTGTAGATTCTGGATGGATTTAAGATGGCCATCTTACTCTACAGCCAGTAGAGTAAGATGAAAGTGATGCTGTGTGACTTCGACAGGTGGACCATAAAGGGTCACCTCATCTTGGCTTTGCTTCCTAGAACATAGTCTCTTAGGACTCTGTGCTATCACATAAAAAGTCCAGTTATCTTGAGATTGCCATGTTGTAAGGAAGCCCAGGCCACACGGAGGGTCCAGGCATGGGTGTTAAACCAGTGTTTCCATCTGAGGCCAGCCTTGAAGTCACCCTGAGGACCCAGATGGGTGAGTGGCAGTCTTCAAAAGACTTCAGCCTCCTACCATGAAGTGACCCATGACCACTTCACTCTTCCCAATGAAGGCCCCAGACTCCACAGAGCAGATATACCATCATCCCTACTGAGCTGAGTTCCTGAACCATAGAACTCAGGAGCATAATTAAATAGTTGATATTCTAAGGTTTGGGATGATTTGTTAGTGCAGATAACAGAAGAGTCTCTTTCCAGATCTTCCTAAGCTATCATTATAACTAAGCTTTATTGATGATGAGATTCCTTCATTTCTCAGAGGCCTCACTTTGTGGCTACCCCAACAATCTTTTGAGTCTTTCAGAAATAGAAGGAGCTGTGATTTGAACCCAGGTAGTTCTGCTAAACTTCACCCTCGACTAGGTGGTCTTAAACAAATCATTTCGTTTATTTGGGTCAGTTTCCTAAACTGGTGAGTAAATCCTCTCCTGCAGAATAGCTATGAAAATCAAATGATACCAGGGTGTAAAACTACCTTAATAGAATGTAGACTCCATAGCTTAGGGCAGAGAGTGGTTTTAATCTCCCTTGAGTTCCAGTCTTGCAAAGAAGTGTATTTACACAAACAAATCAACAGAGTAGATGCCGTAGCCATTAGAAGAGCAAGCACACACCTTACTGTACATTGGGGGCTTCTAAAAGAGTGTGTGTGTGTGTGTGTGTGTGTGTGTGTGTGTGTGTGTGTGTGTAGGTGTGTGTACGCGTATGTAATTTAATAGCGGGCCAGCCTGGTGATTTTGAAACAACTCAAGTGTCTGACATGAAAGCAAGTGACAGTACTTGGAACGAGGGCCATGAAAAGCAAGTACGTTGCAAATCACTCGCGGCCGTGCTGTCGAGGGAATCATAGCCACCATATATATTTTCTTAAATGTAGTTTCCCAGCAAACCTTTCATAAAATTCATGGCTGTGGCTGACCTTTGCTACATCCTTCCTTCCTCAGCTTCTCCCTCCCTGCTCAAATGTAACCTGGGCTTGGAAGGCACTTGTGTCAAACACAGCTGATTGGCTGCTGGATGGCTATTCCAACCCCTCCTTCCTTTCTGCCTCCTTCTAGAAAGTCCAGAAAGCTCTTCTAGCTTCTCCTGCATGGTAGCACATCCATGAGGAATCAGCAGAAGACTTTGGACAAAGTCTTCCATCACGCATCTCTCTTTCCTGACATAATGCTGACAATACCTTTCCCACTTACTCTTTCTACTCTCTTGAATGCATTCCGGGTGCAGCTGCAGCTGAGCAACTCTCTTGAGACAATGGGGGAAGCTCCAGCAGTGGTGTGTGCTCGGACATCTTTGGCACAATCACCTTTGGCTTTGTGTCATAAAGTGAGTCTCTGTTGGTATTTTCTGCAGCCATTGCATTTTCTATTGGAGTCACAGAAAAATCACAGTATAATATCATAGGACATGGTGTGTGTCATGGCAACTGAATGCTTCTTCTGAGTAAGCAGGTGAGTTTTGCCTCCCTGGTCCTTGGAGGATGGCAGAAACAGAAATCCCCGAGGGTAAGATCACTTTGAGCTCATGCATGCCTCTCTCCCTCCAAGTGCATAGACACTCCTCCCACTTCTCTCCAGATACTTTGCCCTTCTTCTGTTCCAGGGCATGATCTTGTCTAACTAGACCGATGCCTCAGCCTTCCTGACCATCATCTTCTCCTTGGCCCTGTCTTCCTGCCTGTTCTTCACCTGCTACCATAGAGGTGACAGTCAAACCACACATCTCCCTACGTTCTGTTGAAAGCAACATTCCAGAGCTCATTCATGAAAGTCTGACCTTCCACACTCTGCTGAGAAGATTTTCCATGATTTGGACTCTGCGTCCCCTCCAGCTTCTCCAACCTGTTCTTTGGACCTGCTACTTCTCTACAGTTTCCTCAAGTTCATCAAACTCTCTGCTTCAGCCACACTGGACTTTACCACCCATGCCCTCCCTCACCTTTCCAATCCCTCTTTTTGGGTCTTTCCCCCTCACTTGCCTCAGACTTCTCTGATGTAGGAATCTCTCTCTCTCTCTCTCTCTCTCTCTCTCTCTCTCTCTCTCTCTCTCTCGCGCTCTTTCTCTCTCTCTCTCTCTCTC